GGGCCACTTTTTTGCCCCAGTCCGCCTCTGCTTGATCTTCTGTTCTTTCAGTTTATATCACACAGTTATGCTACCATCTGCTGGTCACCTATTAGGCTTACACCTCACTCTGAAGCAATAATAGAGCTGCAGTTTTTATATCTTTTAAAAATATTGGGAAAAATACACACACAAGTTAAATATAGTAAATCGTATATGTAGGCATAAATGAACAGAAATAGAAATGCAGTGCTTCAGTATGGTGAAAATGGGAGAGGAGGTAAATGCTTTCGTAATTTCATTGGGAWCATAATGGATAAATGTAATTTATTATTGTTGTATTTTARTGAATGTTTAACACAGAATATGTCACATCCCACTTTAAGCAAAAAATAATATTCTATTATAACACACAACCACTCAAAAACTCTAATTTATTTAAAATAAATGAACTTTTGCAATGCTACCATAAAGAAATAAGATTTTACTTTTGATTTATTTCTCCTGTTGTTTTAAAGTAATAATAATAATAATATTAATAATAATATTTTTACCAACCAGTGGTGGGCAGCACTCATCTAAAAATTAGCTCCACTGGCCCTAAAACACTAACTCACATATTTAAGTCCCCTAATTCCAGTGGTGGAGAAAGTACTCAAACACTGTACTTAAGTAAAAATACAAATAAACAGACAAAAATGTACTCTAGTAAAAGTAAAAGTACTACATCTACATTTTTACTTGAATAAAAGTAACTAATTACTTGCTTTTAAAAATACTTAAGTATTAAAAGTAAAAGTACTTGCTTAATGTATTCCCTAATGGTCTACAACAGGGTTATTCAACTGGCGGCCCGCGGGCCACATCCGGCCCGCRAATGATCAAAGTGTGGCCCKCCAATTGGTTCATTCATCTCTCAAGCCCAAACCCCCGGTTTTCTACTTTAATTASTCTAAGTTAYTTTAGTTAAACATAGACATGTTTGGTATCTACACAAACGTCAGAATCTTGGCTAGAAGCTGGTAAAACCATTTCTATGAACATCCAAGACAGTTAAAACTACAAGCAGTTGAAGATAAAATGATGAAAGTGAAGTTTAAAAATTAGGCAAGTCAGAGATGTTAAAATATTTGTGTCAAGTAGGGGGTAAAATGTGTTCTTTTTGTTTTKGATAATGTTTAATTGTCACTACTTTTATAGGGTTCTGTGTTGTATTCMTGATTAAAKGCAGCAAAGTCAAATATTTCAAAGGTAACAGATCTTTGTAATACTTGGTTTGTTTACATAATGACTTTCATTGCTGGATGTTCRGCCCCTGAGCTGTTGACAGGCAGTAACTGTGGCCCCCGGAGCAGGATAGYTGAATAGCCCTGGTCTACAATATTAAGAATTGTGTCTATGCATATTTTAAATACATCAGTGGTGTGCGATTTTAGTGAACAATGCTGCAGTTTGTGTTTACACTCTGTGACWCTGTTCACACTTGGTGTGATTCTGTGCATMATCACAGATCGTGACAACAGAAGCTGTAAATTTGCCACCATCGTCCTTTATCAAATCTCAACAAGTCATTTTTTGAACCCGTTAACCTGAATAAATAAGGCCATGAGTGGCACATTTCCTCCGTTGTGGAATCCATTGTGGGCATGCTGCTGCTGCTGCTGCTGCTGCTGCTGCTGCTGCTGCTGCTGCTGCTGCTGCTGCTCCAGGTGATGCAGAATCGCTCCGCCTTTTTTTTGTTTTGTTTTTTTGAAGGAGGGTCAAATGGTACTTCCCTGCTTTGCATTGCTTCAATGGACCAATCACAGAAATTTCCCTCTCGCCACTGATTACTTTCACACTAAACAAACAAACAAATGGGAAAAAAAAGAAGCAATGCAACATGACATGAATGTAATTTGTAAAATAAGAAGACTCCGGTGGAGGCCTCAACAATCGCCTGGATCAAAGACTACCTGRCAAACAGACCACAGTTTGTGAGACTGAAGGACTGTGTGTCTAACCATGTGGTCAGCAGCACAGGAGCACCACAGGGAACTGTACTCTCACCATTCCTGTTCACACTGTACACTTCAGACTTCCAGCACGTCAGATTGCTGTCATCTACAGAAATACTCAGATGACTCTGCAGTTGTTGGGTGTATCAGAGATGGACAGGAAGCTGAGTACAGAGAGCTGGTGGACCGCTTTGTGACATGGTGTGGGAACAATCATCTCATCTTGAAYGTGAACAAAACAAAGGAGATGATTGTAGATTTCAGGAGAAATAGTGTYAGATCAAACCCTGTTTCCATCATGGGAGAAGAAGTGGAGGTGGTTGAGGAATATAAATACCTCGGTGTTCATCTGGACAACAGACTGAACTGGAGACTCAACAGTGAAGCAGTCTACAAGAAAGAACAGAGCAGACTGGACTTCTTAAGGAAGCTGAGATCCTTCAATGTCTGCAGCAAGATGCTGCAGATCTTCTACAAGTCTGTTGTTGAGAGCATCATCTCTTCTGCTGTCATCTGTTGGGGCAGCAGCATCAGAGCCAGGGACCTAAAAAGACTAAACACCCTGATAAAGAAGGCTGGTTCTGTTCTGGGGACGACTGTGGAATCTCTGGAGATGATGGTGCAAAGAAGGATTTTACATAAAATCAAGAACATTGTGGACAACCCTGACCATCCTCTTCATCAGACTGTCATAGAAAGACAAAGTGTCTTCAGTCGGAGGCTTCTTCAACTTCGCTGTAATACAGACCGCTACAGATGATCTTTCCTGCCCACAGCCATCAGCATCTACAATAAGTTTTTTAGTTAAATGAGTTACAATAACACCTAATTTCCCTCTGGGATCAATAAAGTATTTTTGAATTGAATTGAATTTGAATTCAACGCTTTACAGAAATGTAGTGGAGTAGAAAGTACAGATACTTCATGTAAAATGTAGTGGAATAAAAGTAACAAGTACCCATGATGAAATCTACTTAAGTAAAGTACAGATACATGAAAAATGTACCCATGATGAAATCTACTTAAGTAAAGTACAGATACATGAAAAATGTACTTTAGTACAGCAACAGAGTACTTGTACTTAGTTACATCCCACCACTGCCTAATTCTAAAGCACTAACACACTGAAAATTTTAGCAAAAGCTAATTCTAAAGCAYTAAAATAACCCAGTCAACCCATGAACGTTCTTCAATAGACGAGTCACATACTGACATGTTGCTCTATTAATACTTATCATTGACATTCCACAGCTGTATTTGTGTTAATATATTGTCACCTTGTAGAGAAGTGACACACATATGAACAAAATGTGTGACAGCTTTCACCGTCATCTGTTAACATTAATGTTGATCAATAACATYYATAGACCTCAGTGTTTCTAAATTTAGCCTATAAATTTAGCAAGTGCTAATCCACTAATAAATTTTAAATCAGCAAAAGCCCTAAAGCACTAATCAGGAAATTAATTCCCCTATTAGTGCTTTAGGGGAACTGTGCCCACCACTGTTACCAACCATTTATATAATTAACTTTTTAAAAGATTTTTACAAAAAAAAAGGTCAACAAAGCTGCAAAACAATAACAGTTGGATGAAACACTATCTGCTGATGATGGAGTAAAGAAATCACTCCCTGACATCATGTTCACAAACAGGAAGACAAAGCGAGGCCTCACAATGAACCGCAGCAGGAAGCATCTGATCATTTTAAAACCTTTATTAATTTAGAAGTCGTTCTCTGATTTTTAAGATACAAGCCACACARTTCTACACAGAATATTACAGAAAAGTAGAGATTTTTTTTTCTTTTTTACATTTGACTCAGTCATGTCGACTCTCAGGCTGGAGACACGTCACATCTTTTCATCTTTTTGCTTTTGTTGTGTTTTCCCTGCGGATGTCAAAGTAGCGTGGARGATGTGTGAAAACCCACAGCCTCGTCGCAAACATCCAACCTGCCAAAGTTCAGCCACATAATCACAACATCRGGGGGAGTACTTTTCATTCATCCAAATTCCCCTTCAGCACTAATAGTTGAATATTTGTCCCCATGCATACATGTTTGATATATATTTATGGTAAAAAATATAGCTTTCAGAATAAATACTTCATATAATTTGTAGACTGTCAGACAATACTCGTTATATACTTTTCACAACACTTTTTCTATATGTATTTGGCTGGATTTACAGAAACAATAAACATATTTTAAATATGAAACAGATTAAAGTTCTTTGGTGATCAGCCAGATGTGAAATCCTATTACATCTGGGTCACACGGGATTGAACAGAAATAACTATGAAGACCTTATGTGTAGGCACGGAAGACCAGACACTTCTCTCAGCACAGATCTGACCAGCCCTCATGTCTGGAAGGTGGGAACGGACTCGTCGTTGCTTCTTCAGTAACAATCAGGTGTGCAGCAGAGTTAAAGTCAGAATAATTGGTGCTTTGTGCTATTTCAGCTGGTAGAAGATAAATCTTTGTTGCATAAATGCAGTCACGTAGTTTATAACGCAGATGCTCCTTTTGTTATTTCTTCATTTAATTTAAGATGTTTAAGAGTGACAGAAGGCTGATAGTCAGTGGTCAGATTGCACGAAGAAGACCGCTCAACGACACTTTTCATCGTGATGTCAAATCATCAAGACTCGAATCGATCTGTAAACTAAAGCAGGGCTGAGACATTTATACGTTTTTAAATGTGGAACGGAACTCTCCGGAGTTTGAATGATTGTCGGAGGTTTTTCGTTTTGTGATGCTGACTAGATTGTTGACCACGTACAAGACACAGATAAATATGTTGGTACCCTTAAAACTCAATCAACGTTTGGTGGAGTTTTGCATCCAGTCGCATCAGTTTTGGGCTTTTTAAAGGTTGGAAAACCAATACATTTATTTGCGTACATTACACGTATCAATTTTAGTAGCATTATGCATCCAATTTGACCTTTTCTGTTTTTAATTGATGTCACACACAACTCAAAACAACCAGTGGTGGGCACAATCCCGCTAATCTGCTAATAGCGGAAGTAGATTCTCTTTTAGCGAATTAGCTTTTCTCGCTAACTTCAGAGCCCATTAGCAGACGGATTTAGCTTTCCCTAAATTAGGTTCTGCTAAAAAAAAAAGGCGTTAAACTTTTGAGTTAAAATTTTATGCCATTTATAAAAAAATCCACTCTAACAAGCAGTGCTGTATGTGTGTGCATGATATAGSCTAGTATCTTTAGCAGCTAAACTAGAGCGTCTAAAATAAATAAAATMCAATTTAAGAATCTTTAAATAATGAATACAAAAATTGAAAAAAAGGCATAGAAAGTATTTTATATTTGTTATTTGTCTTATTCATCTGTCTTATTCGTCAGTATTTCTAAAAATACAAACTCGATCAAAGAAATGTTTTTTATTCTGAAAGGGTTAAACTGAAAGTATCACTAGTTAAGACAGAGCTGTAACTCTGGTTTGGATTGGCCGATTTGTCCCAAATGATCCCACCCACCTTCAAATTAAACCAATAGAAAACTAACAACAGGACTGCATCAATGAATAGTCATCATAGCGTTAGCTTCCGTTAATTTTTTATCTGTTTAGCATTAGCGGAGCTAAGATTCTTGTTTAGCGRGTTAGTGGTTTTGGTAAGGTGTGCCCACCACTGTTAACAACTTTAAATAAATGCAAATACTCATTCGTAATACAATTATTTGCTAATCTAATTAAGAAAAAGTAAATAGTTTAATGTTTAGACGGTTTTTACTCATCTTTCTCATTTTGAGATGTGTTGCTGCAGTTTCCTAGTTCAAACATTTGCCGTTTACTCTGCTCCGTCATAAAGAAAATTAAACTCATGACATTAGCAAATCATTGCATTCTGTTCCTATTTACATTTACACAACATCCCAACCTTTTTTTTTAAATTGGTGCTGTAGGGCGCTTCCTATCAAAGAAAGATTTAATAAAGGAACCGTCATGGGTTATTTCCTGATGAATCAATTCRGTGTGTTCCGTTATTCAGCATTTCATCGTATTTCATGTAAACATACTGAAACGTTTGGCATCCGTTGTGATCATTGAGGAAGGAATGTTTAGTTGTAAACATTTCATGAGATCACACTCGTGTTCTGCTGTATGAGAGGAAAACGGGTGCAGAATTTGCGGTAAACAGAAGAAGACCTGACCTCCTGGGAAAGGAAGCATCGGCTAGAGAACAATAAACAGTTTGTCTGATTAAGGCTAGACCAACATCCCACCACATACCTGATTTCTGATTGACAATGAAGTGTTTTCATTGATATTGCTTCTTATTGCAAACAAAACAAACCCCTCCGCTGCTGGAGGCTTTTAGCTGTCGGATCAGATTTCCGAACTCCCAGAGGAGAAAACAGGGATGGAAAAGTCTCGATCTAAAGACTCCGCGAGTGAATAAACGTCTCTAGATATACAAACTAAAAACATCCGGACCGATTCTAAGGTTTGTCACCTCCACTCACAGCTTGTGTTAGTCCTATAATTCATGCACGTTTAGTTAAAACTTGCTACATTTTTTTTCTTCTTCTTCTTCTTTTGGAATGTGTCACAGCCAGCCTGACATTCATTGTGCATTTTGTTTCTGTTGCATACATGATTTWGATTTGAAACAAGCAGGCAAACAAGGCATAACTTAGTATTTTTGACCTCATAGATGAAAAAAAAAACAGACAGTATTACAACATACTGCTAAGGAGTAGTTATACACAAAACAGCCAGTAGGGGGAGTAACTGTATTGGCATGCAGCATCTTCTGCTCAATACAACCTTCTAAATGAGAAGACTTCTGCCTCTTTTTTTCCCCAATCTAGACATATAATTATTATAAAAATGCTTAATTTTTGTCTTGAACAAAACCATTTTTATCTCGGACTAAATACTTTGTTTCCCAATAACTCACAAATGATAATCACTCATTAAACATGTCAAAAAATAACATGACCACTGTGGAGCAACAACTCATTAAATGTCACTTCTGGTTATATAGTTTTCCTCTGAACACCGTATTATAGACRAATATTTAATAGACACAAACACAATTTTTAAAAAAGTGCAGTAGAAAATACAGTCTCTGTTTGTATGATCATAATCTGATAGAATAACATTCTATATATAATACTGTATGTTCAAAATAATGGCTTATGTCAGTATATGAAATAAACAATGTCAATGCTCTTAAAGAAAATAGAAATAATATTGTATTTCATATATATATATTTATATATTTAAAAGGTAGATCATGTGCTTAGTATTTTGCTTTAAGAGTTAGTTTAACGAAGCAGCACTTCAGAGTTATTGACTCGTCCTGCTTTATATTCTCACCCTGTGTCCTGCTTAATATGTCATCAGTTAAATTTGTTGCCATAATGATGACTTATCTTCAATCTGTCCGAGCCCCCCATCGACTGWTAGATCAGCTGTTGCAGCATATGCACAAACATCCACAGGGCATGCTGGCAGAGGCATAAACGCTTAAACTCTTCAATCCCAGAGGTTAAAAAAAAAAACATCCAGACATCCACATCTTAGACATATATATATCTCATGTTGTGTCATATTTAGTTTCCCTCAACTGGTTGGAARAGTGTTGCGAAGAATAAGAGCTGATTGTTGCTCCCGAGGACCGTGGCTTAAAGGGGGTCTGCAGCAGACGTGGGCTGAGATGCGTGGGCCTTCAAAAGGTCGGCGACATCTTGATGAGCAGCTGCCTCTGCCACCGACAGGGCTGTGTGRCCATTCTGGGGAGACAAAAACAGAAACAAATAAAAATAAATAAATAAATAAAAGGACAGTTTTTAAATCTGACACGTCGCAGTGACTGTTGGGACCCTCACGGTGGCAGTGTTGTGTTGGTTTGAACAAGTTCCCAGGCAACTTTTAGACATTGCTGCACCTTTCTATAACAACACCAGAAGAGCCGGATTAAAGGACTAAGTACTGAAATTCTCAACACCAGTTAAGATTTATTGAAATGGGATAAACCGTAATCTCATCTACTAGTCCATGTCAAAGAAAATCAGCTGTATATTAAATAATTACAAGAAAAAAAAACAGGTAAAATATATATATAAATAGAATAAAATGAATCTTTGCTTTAAAGCTCCCTTTGGGAAAAAAAACAGCGTAATGAAGTAGAACTAAAATATGCTTTGAATGTCTGAAGAAATGATTCATCAGTTAAAAAAAACAAAATGCTGTAAAGTATTTGCTATCTTGATATTTGGTCTAAATCATAAATAATACC